TGTTTTAAATTTCAAAGAAAACAATTCCAAATCATGACTTCATACGCAATGACAATTAACAAAAGTCAAGGCAATCTTCATCGCACGTTGGATTGCTACTCAAGAAATCAGTGTTCAGTCATGATCAACTTTATGTTACAATTTCACGTGTTGCAAGCCGCAAAGGGTTAAAGATATTGATTCGCAACAAAGAACTTCCGTCATCTAACCAAAATACAAATGTAGTTTATAAAGAAGTTTTCCAAAACTTATAACACTTCATATTGCCTATGGTCAGTACTGTAAACTACCTTTTTTGGGGCAAATTTAATAAATTTTGTAATATTTCAAGTTTTGTATCATTTTCTGTTATTCCAAACATTGACTAAATATATGTAAATTAACAGCCCGTGCATCACACGAGTACGAGTCTAGTATATGTAAAAGCAGAATGTAAAATCCATTCCAACTTGATCAAGGTTAATTCAATCTAATTTCACCTATTCAATAATGTACTGCTTGGTAAAGAACTGATTGCTAAAGGGGCAAGCTAACAAAACAATGGGGCAAGCTAACAAAACAATAGAATAAAGTAGACACAAAGCCACCCATGTGCGAACTATTTTTACTCTGCCCATGGTATACACTAGATAATCTCATCTGCACAAAAATGCCAAGAAACAAGATTCTAAGTAACACTTCAATTCTGTCCCCTTTGAATCCAAGAACCTGCACAATTCAATTCGTAGATATTCAAAACAAATATTCACAATAAATTGGAAAAAAATCTATCCCGACAACTATAAAATGCCTTATTGTTTTTGAGAAGGTATAGGGTACAGCCAGTTGTACCTAGAAATAGGTACATCCGGGTTGTGCTCATTTTAAAGTAAAGTAGTACTCATTCTCACACAAATATTTCATACAATTATAATATTCATTTACAAATAACATAGTGTTCATTCTGAAACAAAGTGGTACTCATTATCAAATAAAGTAGTGTTCATTCTCAACTAAAATACCATTCATTCATTCCACTTAGTTTAAAATCAATCTCCACCTCTTCTTCTTCTCCCTCACCGAAAAGCTGAATTATTTCCGACTAAAAATTTCCCAAACCCTTCGACTCCCCGTGAAGGCTTCTTCTTCTCCACCATCATCTTCACCCTCACCTTCGCATCNACAAATATTTCATACAATTATAATATTCATTTACAAATAACATAGTGTTCATTCTGAAACAAAGTGGTACTCATTATCAAATAAAGTAGTGTTCATTCTCAACTAAAATACCATTCATTCATTCCACTTAGTTTAAAATCAATCTCCACCTCTTCTTCTTCTCCCTCACCGAAAAGCTGAATTATTTCCGACTAAAAATTTCCCAAACCCTTCGACTCCCCGTGAAGGCTTCTTCTTCTCCACCATCATCTTCACCCTCACCTTCGCATCACCACCATCTTTGCTGCTCCCCCGCTGCTCCTGTACTGCCTTCTTTTTCCGATCAAACGCACCTAGGGTTTGACTCAATCGCGCTCCATTTCCGCCGGTTGTACTCGATCGAGCTCCACGCTAATTTCTGCCGGCTGTACGATATAATTTGCGATTGTTTTTCTATCCTTCACACCACAGATCGTACTCTCCTTGTTACTTTTATATTCTAAAATATTCCCTTTGTCCAAAATTAAACTTCCCGGTTTGACTTGGCATGCAAATTAAGATAAAGCAAAAATGTGGTTGACTTTCCTAAAATACCCCTCCCTTCTCCTCAGCCAACCTTCCAGACTCCTCCGTCAACACCACAAAATGGCTAACAGCAATAGCCCAAATCTCCTAGCATCAACACCGGCAACAATCGGATTCTGACCTCCCAACCCAAATCCTCGACCGGCGACCCTCCATATTCATCTCCCCATTCGTCTTGCAAATAAAAAATAGGTCTGAAAATTGAATATAGAAATCGAAAATAAAGGGGAAGCCGGAAGCGAAGATCAATTCAGATATGAGGGATCTCCTCCCCTTCTATTCAGATCTGAAGGTGAGGCCACTTATCCTTTTTCAATCTCGAAGCTCTGGGATCTCCCCTTCTGCGCCTTCGTACTATCTACGTCATGAAGTACTCAGATCTGCAAGGCAACGACCATAGATTGACAAGCGACCGGCAAACTCAAATCTATCTGGATAGTATTATGAATCTTGCACTAAGGTGGAAGAATTGAAAAAGAAAATGACTTGAATTGTGTGGGGGTTGAAAAATAGAAATAAAAAAATCTTGAATTAAGTGGGATTGAAGAATGAAGAAGAAGAAGATACGAAGAAGAAGAAGAAAGAAGAAGGTGAGTTGAAGAAGAACATTTGAAGGTGAGTTAGAAGAAAAAGACGAAGAAAGAAGTGGAAGAGAAGATTTGACATTTTGACTAACGAGGAATTGCACGAGAATATATTAGTGACTGTGCTTCTCTTTCAATGAGTGACTGTGCTTCTCTTTCAATGTTTTAATTTATTTAAGGTTTGTCTGTTGTGTTTGTGCATTGCACGAGAATATATTAGCTCTATAAATCAAGATGCTTTATGTGATAGCAAAAATAAACATAATTACTAAACAAGTTTTTTCTAATGTCTGCAAGCATATAGCTATTATTAATAATGTAGATTCAAAACTCAAAAGTAAATTTTTATTGCAAGCTATCTAGTATTGGATTCAGTATGTAAAAAAAGATTTTTTAATTAAAAAAAAAAAGAAGAGTTAAATGGAAAATGAAATAGAGATAAAAAAAAAGAAGTCAAAATTAATGTAGTAATACTGAAGATAAAAATATAGAGCACCTTGATTTGCGCCTTCAATCTAATTCTGGTTACTGGAGGTTGAAGTTCCTTTGAATTGTTTATGCACGTACAAGTGAATCGTAGCTTTGCCGGCCACTACAAGCTAAGTTTCCCCTTGGCAATTAGTCGGCCGTTCTTCCTTCTCCCTGTATCTTTTCCCTAAGTAATTCTCGGTTGTGTCGAGTCCCCTAGCTCTGTCGTTATCTCCGCCCCTAGGGAATTTTCCGGCAATCTGGGTTGGAGGTAGGATCTGAAGAGGCTGGTGAAACCCTAGCATATGGGAGTAGCCCTCTTCGTAACACTGAGCCAAAAAGGTTAATGAGTTGTGGAAAGAATGAGGAGCAGATCAAATTCCTCATTATCAGATTGCATCTAAGGTTTTGAGGGAGAGGGAATAGGAAAGAAGAGAAGGTAGATTGAGTGAGAGAGAGAAGAGGCGAAGAGTAGATCTAGGGTTTGAGTGAGAGGCGAAGATCCATAAGCAGAGGAGGCGTAGAATATGGGATGGTTGAGTGAGAAAATATTATAAGGGTACAGTAGTTTAGGACTTTAGAAAAAAGGGTAGTGAGAAGAAAGTTGTAAGACGGAGGAATATATATATATTGAACTTTAAAAAAATTTAACTATGAACTCATAAATACTCCCTTCGTCCCCCTGTATTTGTCTACATTTGACTCTTGGAACTGTTCATCTAAGCACTTTGACTCATCAAATTTTCTCAATGTGTAAGCCTAAATATAGTCATGTGTGATCTTGTTTGATTTGTCTTAACATATAGATTATTAATATATAATTTCTATAATTTTTTAATATACAAATTACAAGATAAAATAGATTAAAGAAGTGCATTGGATGGTGTGTAAAAATGAAAGTGGGCAAATACATGGGGACGGTGGGAATATGAGAGCAAATATATATTTCACATGTGACTTAAGAACACAATAGCACTAACTCTTAGGTCATGTTCTTTTAGGTTCGAAAAATTAATTTCTAACTTCTTCTAACTTTTTCCAGTTTCTTCCCACTGCTTCTTGTTTTTTCCCAACTTTAAAAAGATATTTATATATGATTAATATAGAATATCATTATATATCTAAATTTATAACACATCACCTCAAACATAACAAAGATAGATTCTTTTTTTTATTAAAAATTAGAGTTTTCTAACATATTTATTTTAGTGATCATTTAATTGAGTAAAAATATTAAAATTTCTCCAACATTTTCCAACTCCTTCCAACTTTTTTCAATGTCTAACTCTGAAATTCCAACTTAAAAAACAGTTCCTTAATAACTTGTGTGATGGTTTGCTTATGGTTAGGCTTTACTAAATTCATAAGGTGTGATTGTTTGGACAAATTCTCAAAAAATAATTTTCCATATGAAGATAAATATAATTTCTCTCAATCTATCTATGTTTAATACGGCAGTATAAGTTTAGTATTATATTATTCTTTATTTCATAAGAAAACTAGTTAATGAATGAAAGAATATTTAATACGTAGTAGTTTTTATATTTAATGAAAGACACAATGACAATAATGAGATTTAAAAGTTCTAGTAGACTATTTTTGAGATTTTTCAAGTGTCAGTCATACACAATGACAAATTATTTATAGTACATAATAGAGTAATTAATTAATTTTAAAAATAGATAATTAACATTTTTTCATATTTATATCGAATGAGGTATGTACTATATCCCCATGCATCGCACGGACGATGCACTAGTATAATGTTAATGTGGGATTCTTTAGGATGGAATGCGAAACTTAATTTGGCTTTCCTAACAAGAATCAAGTAATACAAAGTGACAATACAATACTTATCTGTGAACGGTAAAAAATGGTGGACACAAAGTTGGTGTACACCTTAAAAATAGTTTAATCCTAAATTTAGGGAGTTCATTATATTCTTGAGTGAAAAAAATTATTGGAACTTGCCAAAGTACATAAAACCAAGGTCCTAAAGCCCCGTTGGTACACAGAATTCAAACTATGGAATTGGAATTGAGGACTTCAATTTCAATTCTGGTGTTTGGTAGCACAAAAAATTATGTGGATTTGAAATTAACAGTGCAAAAAATGAATTGGAATTGGTGAATTCAATTCTATGGAATTGAAAATTCCAATTCAATTCCAATTCCATCAATTCCGTATACAAAATGTATTCCGTTATAAACATAGAACTGACAGAAGCGTAATGTCTTATTATTGACGATGATGATGATTGAGTAAGTAGGAAGTGGAGAGTTAATTACAACTTACAACACATGATATAATCAATCTTATTTATGTGTTTCACAAGATAGGCTTGTTGGTTCATGTACATTCAACTACAGCACCTGTATGATTAAATCCACAAGAAATTTGTAATGCCCTAACGCCAACCTGAAATTTAACCATTCCAGGCTCAATGTGGTCTCTGTCATCTCCTTGCCCCTGCACAAGAAAATATTTTTGTTTGGATTACTATTATTGTTGTTGTTGTTGTTTGAATTGAAATAGAGAAAAAAAACCCAAAAAATGTAGCATCGACTGAAAGTTAAGGTACCAATTGTCCGCCTGAAGAATGTCCGTCTTCAGAAAATGATCCATGGGAACCTCCCCACCCCCATGCATAAACATTGCCTCCTGCTAAGGGTAACTCACTTGTCAGCAAATGAATAAAAGAAAAGTGCAAAGACTAATCTATTTCAAACAAACTGAGTAACAAACATTTGATGATCTAATTGATTCATTTGAAGTAAGATCTTTGACTGCTTAGGCCACGACTCGGATATGTATATTGGGCTATTTACATAGATATCTATCTCTCGGCCCAGTATCTGAATAAAAGCTGAAAAAATAGAAATTTAAGAAGAAATGGAGAATAGATGTAAACGCCTCAAAACTCTTCAATTTGTGACTTATTCTGAGGGTACACTTATTTTATTGAAGTAGAAAATTCTGATAGTAGAAAGATTTTTATTTAAAATACATAAATTTGACGTAGTGACTTCTAATCCTTATTCCAATGGCCTTACCAGAAATTGCTGCTGTATGTTTCCAACCGCAAGATACCTGTAAAAAAACACGTGTAGTCACACAAAAATGACATCTTATATAGATATAGATGCGTGTATGCAGGTGTCTCAGGCGGATATGCAAACCCTTGCTCCCTTCCAGGATGACAAACTCTAGAGACTCTGGCTTTGTTTGGTAACAGCGTTTTCGATTAGTGTTAGCGTTTTGGATAAAGTTTTAACGGTACAGATTAATTCTGAAAACGCTAACGCTAAAGGCTACCGTCGGATAGCTTTTTCAAAACGCTAACGCTAATCTCTGACGCTGATGCCAAACGGGGCCTCTATCTACAATGAGAACCAAAGGCCCAGGCAATCTATTTCACATGGACCTTTTTTCAAGAGCAACCCAGTGCAAGAGCTCTCACATATACATGGTCTGAGGAAGGGCCAGGTCATTTAGGCTCCCACAATGAGGTAGGAAAAATGAAAGAACCTTTTGCCACAATTTCCAATGTTCATGTTGAGGATACAGTAACACAGAAACTGAAACTAGAATTCAGAATGTGGACATGGATGGCAATAATTCGATGATATTTATTGTCCATCCCTACCCAATGTCATTATACGGAAAATCAGCAAAGGTAATATAATTTGATTTTGACTCCAAAGTCAAAATCAACTTGGGGGGTGCAATTGAAGGGGGTGGGGGGCCGCGTTCGGGTCGGGGCGTGGTGGAGGGGTTTACCGGGGGGGTTAGGGGGGGTAGGAACCGTCAATTTTACGAACGGGGCACCGGAGCACCCCCGGGTCATCCCATGACATTGGTTCTCAATGTCATTTGAACCAAGGTGTGATTTGAGTATGTGAAGAGAAGATTAGGGGAAAATAGATGGGGAAAATGCATTTCACACCTTCAAAAGGTGGCAAATAATCAAAATGCAACCTCAAAAGTTTTATGTATTTTTTGTTGCACCCTCCATCAATTTTTTTAACTTAGAAATTTATTTAAATTGTTGGATTTAAATTCTTAAATTTCAAATTACAAAGGGGGTGTATAGATTTGTAATTAAGCTTCATTGGGAAATGGAAAGAAACGGACAGCCCAAAACATTGAAAACAATAGAAGGAAAAGCATATAGTCTGATAAGAATGTTTTGTTACTAAATACCATTTAGAGTACAGGGGTAAATGCCCATAAGTCCATAACAAACCTTGTAAACAGAATCCATCAGAAATGGGCCTTGAACCCTTTCAGGTGAATATGTAACATCTGTACAACTGGTGCACATATGTAGGTGAATATCAAACACTTAGAGATAAATGAACATAAGTACTTAAAAAGAGTAGCATATGTTATTTTAACAACATACCCAGTTCCGAGACAGCCATTCTCATTAGAGCCCCAGCTATACAGCTCTCCAACACCTACAACAAAAATATTGTGCAAACCAGATTTTGTAAGTAGTGATGAACAGGCTAAATTATACCATACATTCAGCACTGGATTAAGTATTTCAAGAGACTTCCCTCTGCGTAAGAAAACCATGTGAATAATACAGAAAAATATAAAATACTTAGGCCCTGTTTGAGAACAGAGTTTTGAACTAGCACCAAAGTTTTGGATAATGGTACAAATTTAATTTAAAAACATTAAAGCTAAATGCTTCTGTTGAATATTTGTTGCCAAACGGCACTTAACACCAACTGCAGACAAGGAATCCAGGTTGAAGAAGATCATATCAACATTACATCAACAGGAAAGGAGGAAATTTTATTACGAGTAGTTTCATAGTTTATTAGCTTAACATTCTTAAGAGCTGACTGCATTAACATTTGGACTTGGGACGATGATCAATGGATGGGGGAACAAGAGGGTACTTCATCAAGACATTATTTGCTTTTTGTATAAAGCCTATATATTGTCATTATATGATCTCTACAAAGTACAATTGGTTCCTTTCACATAAATGTAAACTATTGTTGGATTAACAAAATGGAATATTACTTGTGACAACACATGTGTGATAACCACCACATGCAATCATTTCTGAAGATGGTAACTCGCATATCATAGATGGTTCTCTATCGTAGTTTTCACCAAAGCCCTACAATTTAAGGAGAACATATTTAGTTTGATTGCAGCAACAGTCTAAGTAAATTATAAAAATAGGAAGTATAAATGTATAGCCATTAGGTTCTAGACACTTGCAAAATTTTCCTTTGCTCTTCGTCCAAAAGTATATACACATCCTGTCTCTGTGAAATAAATAAAGTGGAACAAAAAAAGGAAAATATTCTCAAATTATCTTACATATAGTATTTTAATACATTGTCTGAAAGATGTGAATACATTACCACATATGCAGGCAGAATGCAACATCCCAGCACCAGCTTCTATAACCTATTTAGAAAAGAGTGATGTCACCCACCTAGAGAATCCAATGACAAGCTAGAACTAGGCATTTACTGATTTTGAAAGGAAGCTTGAATGACCAAAAGCATAAGAACCTATAGGGCTTAGTGTACCTTCACACTCTCAAGCTTCTTTATAAGTCTTGGTGCATATTCACTGCATTCAAAGGCAACACTAGTTAAGTGACTAAGCATGAAACAATACTCTTCCGGATACACATATAACTGAAAGCTAACCACCGATGACATGAGAGTCCATAATGAAACATGTGGAGGCACATTTGATGTCTTTAATATAGGTTAGCATGAAAATATTTTGTACATAACATTGTGTTTTACACCACTTCTTGTATGTGCCGCAATAACAAACTCACCCTTAATGTCAAAAAAGTAAATTAATGTAAAAAATACACGGCAGAAAAATTTTAAAAATTTAATTTGTGATGGGAGACGCGATAAATGGTTTTTCAAACCACTCCAGAATGATATATCTTAGAAGAGGAATGACAATAAAGGAGTAGAACAATTAGAAAGTAAAATAGAATTAGAGAACATTGTTCCTTCTTTTTTCCTCTCAGTTCATTCCCTATCTGAACCAGAGGTTGTATCCCCCTTTCCCTGTAATTTACCGATGGGAACTAATAAAATTCTACATTCGCTGTAAGAGACCATAGCATACATTGGGAAATCCATACTTCAAATAATATCATTTGCAGAATGTTTCCAGTAGAGTGATAATGAAATGATTTCTCCTAGCCTAAGATAAGACAATAATGGTTTGTAAATGATGTTTACAATAGAGTGATGATATAATAACATCACAGTGCTCCAAAAGGAAAGTGGAGAACACATTAATGCTCCAAAAGGAAAGTGGAGAACACATTAAAGCATGTGTGATAGTCCATTAGAACAGAACTTTTTCTCTTGGTGAAGAAGTCTGGGTAAGTTTAGGATCACTCTATCAAAACTTCATAAGCCAACATATAGAAGATGGTAGAATGTTATCAACCATCACGATGGACCTGTTACTTTTTAGTACTCCAAAAATTCCTGAATGAAGTCCATGACCAAGTTGTCCAGAGCCTCCCCCACCCCAACTCAAGGCCTCACCATTATCTGTTAAAAAAAAGATATATATCCTGCACTTGTTTTCCTTAGGTATTCATTAAGTCTAAGATCAACAGAGCACACTGAGTTAAGAACATTTTTTCAAGTTCAAGATGCAAAGAATCATATCTCATACCTGTAACAGCAATTGAATGCTCAAAACCCAAGGAAGCTGCTTTTACAGCTAGCCCGTTTAAACTTTCAACTTTTCTCGGAAAGGAAACTACTTTATTGGCTTCTGAAGACAATTATAGTAAAGATTCAACAAGTTAAATTATTCCACCAATTTTGTTGAGATTATCAAATACATATGGAATTAAATTCTCAAGCAACAGTAAGACTAAAGATCATTTGTAGCTCGACCTACAGAGTAAAGCAGCATAAGAAAAAATTTATTACTTTTTCCAAGGCCAAGCTGTCCGTTGGTGTTCTTCCCCCACATATAGAGTTCGCCATCAACTGCAACACAATATAATAAGTTATAAGTATTCAAGGCATAAAGCATAAATATAACTGCAAAAATTCAGGAAACGAATGATGTAGACATAGTTGAGCAAAGTTCAGGAAAATCTCAAGCAAAACTCCAGCTCTAAGGAAATTGTAAGACAAGACCTATATATATACTGGGGTTATATTTATATGCATATGATGACTATAACAGCAAGCAAATACACAGAATAAATATTTCGTCCGTATTTGTTCAAAATAAACAATATATCCTCGTTGGTTATTTATTTCACACCTGTGATAGCACAAGAATGATGATAACCAGCAGAAATCTTTATAATGTCGTTGGGAAGGGTAGCCACGCGAACTGGCTCCTGCAACAGTGATTTTATGTCAGTTTATAAACAATACATCCTATATCAGTCTATCCCACTATTTTTGTCCCTTGGTCGTTCTGATTTTTGTCCCGAACCATATTTGATTATTTGATATAATTATGTGGCTCAAATTAAATCAACTCATACTTTATAAACTCAATACAGCCACACAGTTCCAATTTCCCATAGGCCGTAACCCCATGTCCGGTACGGAGAGAGTACAACAAAGACAACAAAAAAGCCTTATCCCACTGATGCGGGCTTTAGTCAATTACTGTTATTCCTTAATTCTATTTTTAACCCATGTTCTTTTACTTATTGTAAGTGAATGAGTTGGTTTCTACCGTGTGTGTAAGGGGTGCCTATGTAAGGCTGGAACTCCATTGATATGGTAATCAGAATACATTTTGAGATATTTTCTCTCCTCACCTCTTTCTCTCTCTTCAACACTCTCTTCTCTCGTGTTTATTACAGAGCCTCGGAACTCTCTTCTTTCTTGAAGAGTTCCCACGCCTGTATCATTGGTATCAAAGCAGCTCGTCTGGGCAGGGACTGTAGATCGAGAAGCAAAGCAGCGGCGATAGCTCGAGAAGGAAGACAATCGCAGAAGATGGCGTCCTTGGCAGAAACCCTAAAAAAATTTGATTGATCAGCAAAAATCAATTAATCTCCAGATGTCTGAACGAAACAAAAGAATTGATGATCAACAACAATTGTTCTGTCAGATGTTGAAGCAAATGGGGACGATCGTCAATGGAGCATTATCAGAGAAGGATCAGGATTGTGTGCGGCAATTGGATAAGGGTAATCTGAGACAAATCGATTTCAACTTCAATTCAGTTATAGAAATTCCCCAATTTGATGGAACTGATGTTCGAATCTGGATTATGAAGTGTGTTAAATACTTTGAGTTGAACCAAACTTTGGATGTGGAAAAAGTGGATTTAGCTTCGAGTTATATGATTGGGAAGGCTAGATTTTGGTTTAATAGCTATATTGTAGGCAGACCTAACATCTGTTGGGAAGATTTGGTGATAGATTTGAGTACTAAATTCAGGGATGACCTAAGTGAAAGCACATTTGAGGAGTTTAGCAGATTGAATCGAATAAGGAGTCTGGAGGATAATGGTGACAGATCTGAAGAACTAAAGGCTTGTAAGAGGTTGAAGAATCCACTGCTACCAGGGAATCGCACTTTGTACAACTTCATAGGAGGACTTAAACCACATATAAAGACAATTGTAATGACCTCCAAGCCTAAGTTCTTATCAGAAACCACTAAATGTGAGGGGATTCTTTGGAATCAAGAAGAAACTGAGCATGTTATTAAAGGAAAAGGAAGAATTCCTAAGCTAGTGTTTAATACTAATCAAGCCTTGCCACCTACCCTTACTGTGGATGCTATCAAGACCGTACTTGCAGTAAGTCAGCCCAAGTCTATGCCAAATACAAAGGGATTAAACTATTATTTTGAGAAACCCTTTGAGAGGGAACACATGAGCATTGAGAAGGCGAATCAACTATTTGTAGTGGAGGAAGCTAGAGATACTGACTTAGAGGAAAAGCCAATACACTCTGATTTAGGTTATCAATTGGAGAGGGACAACCCTTCTATTTTAGTAAATGCTTACACTGAATCAAAGGAAGAATTGTTGCAACCCAGTTCAGACTGCCAACTGGAGGTTACTTCCTCATGGAGGGTTGATGAAGGTAGTCCACAAATGGATGCTTCACCTTACAAGTACCCAATCAAGAAAAGGGAAAAGATTGAACAGTTGACTATGATGTTATATGGTGGTGTAGTGCAAAATAGCTGCAACCTTGATGACTCTCTAGTGGTATTAGTGGGGAAGCTACCAAAGGCAAAGGGCGAGGATACTATAATTGAAATTGTAGATAGGATGAATGGGTACACTCATTACATGGCACTAACTCACCCTTATACTGCGGTAGAGGCAGCCCAATATTACCTCGCAATTCACGGGGTTGACTTGCAAAGGACTTTCTCCTATCATTCCCAACTAAATGGATTAAATGGAATGCTTAACGAGGTAGAAACTGTAAGGGAGTGTCCAGTCCCCACCAAAGAGAAAGAGTTAGTAGCAGTGGTACATGATGATATGCTGCAAACAACAAAAGTTGCAGGATGTTATGGGCAGCTGCCAGTACACATCCTAAATGCTGGGCCAGTAAAATGGGAATGTAGTAAGATGAGAATGGAGTTTATAGACAGAGGCAGTAGTCAAGTTCTAAGGAAAATGATACACCAGGTTACAGTACCACAAGTGTCACTTCCTATAGTTCAAGGGCTGTTGGAGGTACTTACTGACTCTAGCAAGATAGGAGCTGTAAAGGGATGTCAAAACCCCACCAATGAGAAGGAATTGTTGACTTTAGCAATGGTACTTGCTAGGCAGTGGTGTACTCATTTTATGAAACTGAATCACCCTTATATTGTCGTGGAAGTAGCTCAATGTTACCTTGCAATACATGAGGTGATCACCAAGATGGAAACTATAATGGGGTGGCCAACACTTACCTCTGAGAAAGAGCTGCAAATGGCATTGCTCCCAATCCACCAATCCATTATCATCCAAACGGATCAAAAGAGCTCCATATGGCTATTAGAAGGCAAAGCGACAATGCCTTGCCTACAGTTTTGGTTATCCAATCTAATGAGTTATATTTATGGGGTTCATTACAAACAAGGACATGAAGAGGGGCAAGATCAGCTGAGGAGGAGCTCTTCTCTGTTGGATGATATCAAACGAAGTTGGTTTCTTGGCCCTAAACTGCAGGAATACAATCAGCAACTCCAGACATCACAAATCTCTACTAAGATGTGGAATTGGAGAGAGGTTTTTAGGGGCTTCGTAGTGAGACTGCCAAAATCTCAGGTGATTCCAATAACCATCCTCAACTTTGAGCTATTTGGAAGAAACCCGAAACAGATGCTGGTTAAGAGAATTTGGGATCCAGGTATCTCGGCCCTTCCCAAGTTCTGTCCAAAGAGGGTGCAATGGAAGCAACTTAGACAAACTGAATGGATCAACAAGCATTTGGAAACCTACCTCAGGGGGGTGTGCTTCCACAATCCAAAGCCTTGCTTGTCTGGAGAAACTAATGTGAAGATAGTGGACAGGTCCTTACAGCAGGGGGAGGATATAGCTATGTTTAACCAATTGAAATGGCAGTTACAAAGGGCACAAAGCCAAATGCAGCTGTTAGCCCGTCACTTAAGTCCAGTAAAAGATGGGGCTTGCCTTTTGGACCTTTTTCATGTCATTTCTAAAGAGGGAAAGGTGGTCTACAAGCTTCATCTTCCACCCAACTTTAAGACTCACTCTCAGCCTAAAGCTAATAAGATTTCTGAAAAGAGCAAACACACAAGGGGTGCCGTTCTAGTGAGTTGGCAAGAGATTCTAGTGGAAGAAACAACGTGGGAGTGGTCTGTTGATTCCATGAAGAAGGTTCCAACGTTCAGCTTTGAGGACAAAGCTTTGGCTAAGGGGGAAGGAATGATGCGGGCTTTAGTCAATTACTGTTATTCCTTAATTCTATTTTTTAACCCATGTTCTTTTACTTATTGTAAGTGAATGAGTTGGTTTCTACCGTGTGTGTAAGGGGTGCCTATGTAAGGCTGGAACTCCATTGATATGGTAATCAGAATACATTTTGAGATATTTTCTCTCCTCACCTCTTTCTCTCTCTTCAACACTCTCTTCTCTCGTGTTTATTACAGAGCCTCGGAACTCTCTTCTTTCTTGAAGAGTTCCCACGCCTGTATCACCCACTAGGTGGGGTCGGCTACATGGATCAAACGACGTCATTCTGCCCTATCATGTACCATATCTACAACGAGATCATTCATGCGAAGGTCCCCCTTGACCACTTCGTGCCAAGTCTTCTTAGGTCTACCTCTTCCTCTAGCCATATGTCTATACCCCATGTCCGGGACAGAGGGAGTACATTTAAGTTAATTTTTAATATTTAAACACAAACACAAGCAATTGAAGAACAAATAAAGTTGCTCAAAAATAAAAACTTACCCTAACAAAAGCAACTAGAATAATAAGATTCATTATTAGCATTTAAAGTTTTTAAACAAAACTAAAGTTGCACATCTCCCTTCAGAAATACAAGTTGTGCACCAGTCCAGATTCATTAGAATGAAAGTTATGAAACAGTAGGAAAGACAAGAAATGGTAGCTCATACAGGAGTATAACTTTTATCGCCCGGAATGCCTAGTTGACCAAAATCATTGAGACCACATGCATAAACACTGCCATTTTCTGTTAAAAAAAGGACTGTTAGCGTACGACTATCTCACTTTTGAATTCACTATGAGATCTTCCAGCAGTTTATACACAAAGTGGCAACACAGTAAAGGAGAAGTACTTTCAAGTATGATACCCAAAGAGGACCAGAAGAATGAGTTGAGTATATCTCAATTCTCAAACCATTCAAGGATGCAGTTGGAGTCCATGCAAACTTTTCAAGAAAATCAATCGTCAAGAAGAGTCTAAAGCAGAACAAGGGATACTATAGCCGTTAAGCATACAAATATCTTTCCCAGATTAGGAAATCAGGAAAAAAAAGTGGCCTTTTCCTCTGCAATCAGTGGCGCGCCCAGGAATAGTAAAGAGTGGTGTCTGTTTTTAAAATACTATGATTGCTTCGTATAAACAAATACTCCGTATGTAATATACATTTAAAAAAATTAGAATTTTATTGTTTTTAAACCAAAATAATTTTCTTTTCTAATATTTCATCTCTTATTTTATATATATATTTTTACTTTTATGATCGGACTTTACTCTCAAGCTATTTTTTACTATTTATTCATTTTAATTATTATTAAAATAAAATAATTAATTTAAATTTGATGTAGTTTGTGCTCAAAATAAATTTTACATTTTTATTTTTTCCGTTGCAATATAAATTTTCACATTTTGTCATTATAACAAATCATAAATTTCATGACGGAAAGGGTCGATACATTGTATTTACCAAGTATTTAATTTAAATTGAAAAATCTTAAAGATTGTTAAGAGTGAGATTCAAAGCCTTAACTTCTTCATACTACATATAGGAAGCTAAAAAAATACTGCATATTTCTAAAAGAAAAGAGAAACAATGTTGCTTCCTTTGAAAAAAGGAAAAAAACCAAAAACAAAACCCAGGGATGAGTTACAAACCATGTACGATAACACTTCTCAGTTGCATGCCAACCACTTAAGCTACGTTTACTACTGTTTATAACACTACATACAATGGACTTATACAAAATCTAATGGTGTCACTAGACTTTATTGGACCATAATGTAGGTCTGCCCGGATCGGAGTGACTCCAGCTGACCCCACTCAAACCACTGTGGGTCAGTACATTTCGCATATTTGTCTCAGGCATCTTCTAGGGGAAGTTCTATCTGCTATGAATATTGGTTTTATTGTTTGTAGAAAATTTAGGCAAACAAAAATGAAATTAACCGTTAAATCAAACAATCAAGTACTCCTAATGCACTCAAACTAGAAAAAGGTTACAAAACCAGGAAAAAAAGTGGACTATTATTCAGCAACTAACTACTTCCAGCATATTTTTGCTCTAGGGGAAATCAGCTTCAAATCAAGCAATCAAGTAAATTCATCTTCATATCAAATAATCTAGTACACTCTTAATGAACTCAAACTAAAAGATCGATTTCATTTCGAATCATAATTAAAAAATAAGAGAAACCTAATGGGGATAACGAACCTGTGAGGAAAAGAGAGTGAGCCCCGCCGCAAGCGATGTCGCGGAGGCTTTGATCATGAAAAGCGGACGGCAGCAGGGATTTAGGACGCCACTGCGATTCAATGCCGCCGTGTCCCAGCCTCCCGAAATCTCCGTTTCCCCACAACACGGCGAACCTCTTAGTGCAGCCGTCAACGGCTGCGGAAGATTGGGAAGAAATCCAGCGCAGAAACCTTGATCCTACAGTGCGCTGATCAAGTCTCAGAGCACCAATGGATGGAGAGTTCCTCGCATTCCCGAACGCTCTCGCAAGCTCCAGAGCGTTCTTCATCATAGTCGGTACTCCGTATTGCCGTTGGAAGCATAATCCGATCACTTTTGTGATCGAAGCTGAAGAAAGAAAACAAATGGCGTTGGAGGCTCCAACGCTAAACTCTGTTTTTTGGGTAGAGACGTGGAAAAATGTGGGCTCTGGAGCTAAGGAATTGTAAAAAAAATTGTAAAGGATGTCTACTTCTACCACCACTTCTAAAAGAAATGCTACAAATTTTATTCTTTTTAAAGAGTGTTTGGTAGTGCACTGTTTTTAACAATTTAGCTTCTGCTTTGACTGTAAGTGATTTTACTCTGTTTTCCATGTCAGTTTCTGCTTTTCACTAACACTATTTTGTACATACAACACCGTTTCAGAGAAGCAGTTTTGAGGTGCTTTACTTTCATTTTTTCTACAAATCACTTTATCCACAAGTTAATCACTCTCAAAAACCTTCTTAATACTCCCTCCGTCCCAATTTATAATGTCTGTTCATTATTTACAGGGTCAAATTTCATTCACTTTTTTTTCTCTATTTTCGTTAGCAATTTGATAAAATAAAGTACTATTGTCACTACTAGTTTTGTAGATCTTTTGATGTAGTATTTTGATATGTAATTTTCATTTTTTTAACTCTATACCATTTGTCATAAAAAATGATTTGAAAATAATTTCAGTCAAACATCGTAAACCGAAACAAGCACTATAAATTGGGACAGAGGGAGTAGAATAGAGTTAATAGAATAAGAAGAATTTACATAAATGGTATCAAAATATAGTAATTTTCCAATGTAATACCATATATTTTTATTTTTCAATGTAGTACCATATATTTTTATTTTCTAATGTTGTACTATTGTTGAATATCCACTGATCATTGTTCAAGTAAATGTCATCACTGGACATTGTTCAAACTAAATGACCATCATCACTGGACATTGTTCCCGATACTAGACATTATTCAAGTACTATTTAGGGATTAAAAAAGTTTAAATACTAGATTTAGAAAAAAATATATGTTTCAGTATTATTTGGTGTAGGTTTCACATAGAATATTATAAAGAAGGTATATTTATTTAGGGAACTTGTAGTCTTGCACCAATAAAATTAAAAATGACACCACTACATGACACTAGTAGTTTTGCGGCGTTAGTAAAATTGATCGTTTCTACCCGTAAACCCCCGACCCATAATTTAACCCTACCACCACCTCAGACCCTTGCACCCCCCATGGATCACCGATTTGGGGCCATTTGAAGGGGTTTAACAATAGTTTTGAAAACCGGACCAGAAACCGGAGGTCAAATCGGTCCAGTCCGGCCCTTTGGACCACAATGGCACTGAACCAGTTCGAATCGGTGTGAACCGGTACGAACCTACTGATTCACCGGGCCGAACTAGTTCTTTAAAAAAAATTGGCCAAATTAAAATATTATTCCATCACCAAGGTTAGAACCTTTAAACTCTTAGTTGTTATACCAAACTATCAACCAATCGAGCAAGATCATTTTTTGTAACATATTGGTTCAAGGTAGTATATATTCCGTAATTAAAAGAGTAAATATGTATTAAAAGATTTTTTTATTTCTTAAACTAGGATTCTTAACATTTAAAAATAGAAATAATTCTAATACGGAGTGTGTGTCGCAAAAAAATCATTTTATTATTTTTGGATTATAAAAATATCATTATTTTATAACACTTTTAATGTACTTCTCAATATGTAAATTTTATTTTAAATTTAAATTGACTAACAAAATAAATTAAAATGATTACAATGTCAATCAAATATCATAAAATTTTATGTACGTATAAAAGCAGTTATTTTTATATAAAATAATTATATATATATATATATATATATATATATATATATATATGGGATTGACTCAAGTCAGATGACATGTTTCGTTCAGATGACACTTTCAGTCAGATGACAACGTATGGCTCATTCTGAATCAACGTAGCGCTCATTCTTAAACAACGTAGGATTCATTCTCACACAATTGTTCATCACAATGTAGTGTTCATTCCAAGCCAGCAAGACAACAACATAGGGTTCATTTTGAATACACGTAGTGTTCATTCTAAGACATCGTAAGGTTGATTTTCACAAAAATGTTCATTATAAACGTAGTACTCATTCTGAAACAACCTAGTACTCATTCACAGTCTGCTGAGTGTAGTTGTTCATTCTGAAATAAGGTGGTGCTCATTCTCAAACAAGGTGGGGCTCATTCTGATGCATGTCATCTGACCGAAAGTGTCATCTGATCGAAAGAGGTCATCTGACTAGAGTCAATCCCATATATATATATATATATATATATATATATATATATATAGACACACACACATACATATATATATATATATATATATATCGACTCCAGTCATATGACACTTTATGGTAAGATGACATGCTACGGTCAGATGATGCAAAGCTCACCACTGCCAACTGTAAAGCTCACCTAGACCAACTGCAAAGCTCACCAGAAGGTATGGCAAAGCTCACCAATATTTTTCACACTTAGAATTTTTTTTTGAAAAAAAATCTAAGAGGTGCTGACTTTGACCTATGTCGACCACTGAATTTGACCGTTGATGACCGTTGATCGCCACTGAATTTGACCGTCAATGGTGGTGGAAGTCACCCCTTGATTTTTTTTTCAAATTTTCAACCTCAAACTTTGGGGAGCTTTGTGTGTATGTTTCGGTGAGCTTTGTATTGAAGAATGGTGAGCTTTTTCGTTAGGGTTTGTAAGGATTTAATCTTTAAAATTTTAAAAATTCAAAGTGTGAAAAAATCTTGGTGAGCTTTTCCATATAGTTTGGTGAGCTTCGCAGATGTCCTTGGTGAGCTTTGCAGTGATCAGTGGTGAGCTTTGTGCCATCTGATCGTAGCATGTCATCTTACCATAAGGTGTCATTTGACTGGAGTCAATCCCATATATATATATATATATACATATATATATATATATGGGATTGACTCCAGTCAGATGACATGTTTCGTTCAAATGACACTTTCGGTCAGATGACAATGTATGGCTCATTCTGAATCAACGTAGCGCTCATTCTTAAACAACGTAGGATTCATTCTCACACAACTGTTCATCACAATGTAGTGTTCATTCCAAGCCAGCGAGACGACAACATAGGGTTCATTTTGAATACACGTAGTGTTCATTCTAAGACATCGTAAGGTTGATTTTCACACAATTGTTCATTATAAACGTAGTACTCATTCTGAAACAACCTAGTACTCATTCACAGTCTGCTGAGTGTAGTTGTTCATTCTGAAATAAGGTGGTGCTCATTCTCCAACAAGGTGGGGCTCATTTTGATGCATGTCATCTCACCGAAAGTGTCATCTGATCGAAAGACGTCATCTGACTGGAGTCAATCCCATATATATATATATATATATATATATATATATATATATATATATATATATATATATATATA